GCCTATATACTACAAGTTTTAAGTTGCAGTTGCTTGATAATGTGCGTGGGGGACAAAGACTGGATATTTGCACTAGATTCCCATCCCTGATCATCTGCAGTTGTGGGGGATGGTACTCGACGACCCCAATGGCTTCTCTCAGCCTCTGTAACATCAAATATTTTAAACCTACTTTATGCAGTCCTAATCAGGAACAGTATAATTTACAAAGACATTACAACCTATCAATCTGAGGATCCTCTTCTAGTGGACAAATAATGCCTCCCCCATCAATTCATCAATAGTCACTACACAGCTGAATTCTTCAGCCTTTCAAGAAGGGTTTTGCAGCTTGTCATCTGCAGACCCTGGACACAGCAATTTCTAAAATATATTGAAGAGGCCTATGAAAGGCGACCAAGAAAAGCATGTTCAGGCATGTTATCTAGCAACCCACACCTGCAAAACATCTAAAATGATCCACACTTCCACTGGGAAATTTTTGAGGTCTGTAAATTGAAAAGCAGCAAAGACATAAAACTTTAAACAAAGGATAACTCTTAAAATGAGAATAAAACCCCATTCTCTTGCATTTCAGTCCTTTCCTCCTTAATTCCCAGAATACCCTTCACAGGAGTATATTCAGTATTTATACCTGAGACTGCAGAGAAATTGGCTTCTAGGGCTACATGCATCTGGATTTACCCAGATGTGTCCTGTTCCTTCTTTTTCTAGAATTTTGCCCATGAATGGGCAAACTTGAATGCCCATTCAAGGGCATTCTCTAAATTTTTAGATAGCCTGGGCATGCCCATGCAAACAAACTTTACTATACATATGCTGGCCCAGGGACACAGGCACACTTGGTCTGACACTGGCTGGATGCACCGGCTGCAGTAGCTACACACAGATCAAATGACGCAGTGTGGCACCTGCTTGGTGTGGCAGATAGATACCTCTCTGATTCATTGGATTTACTGTGCACGGGCAGGTTACCTCTGTAGCTTCTGGGCGTCTTAGACTAAAGGGCATATGCCACACTGTAGGTGTGTTGAGCAGGAACATGAGAGTTCTGGTTCGTAACACTGAATGTGCCAATAAATATTGTAGGGAAGGAAATGCATTCAGCTGGAAGTATAATTTAATACTGGTTTTGCCTTAAAGAGTCCTACAATATCACCATTTATTCTAGATGCTTTCCATATTATTTGATAATGTTGCAGCTAAATGCAGTAACTTAACATTAAATACCCCTTAGCAGGGGTATGAAGAATTTTTAACAGAGGTATGACGCACACACGCCATGATGTGTTATAGCATAACAAACATACCAGCGGAGCTCCAACAACAAATGACCATCCAGTGGCCGTAGAGCAACTCAGACATCATAATGCAAAAAACCACCTTTTCCTCCTATTAGGAGGGAAGAGTCCACGGTGAGATTTTTCATTTCATTCTACGTGCTTACCACTAGTTCTTACTAAAGATGCTCGCTTGATCATGAGACTATATCCTTGATCTTAGGATACTCCAATCCTCACATACATGTTGATTATAACCATACAGCAGCAAGCAGTTACAAAATGTATTCGCTGGGAACTGCGTATAAGCCAAACCAAGTGTTTGGCTCCCTCTGCACTGTCATGCTTCTGAAGCTGCTGACTTGGTATTTAGTTTACAATAATTTGGTTTATATTTGTTCTGTTCACAGTTACTATTTAAGCTAATATTTAAGCTAATTGTCCTTGCCCCAGCAGACTGTAGCATGAGGCAAACATGGGTTTTCTAACCTTACAAACTCTACAGCTACTCTCCTTCATGTGAAATAAGGTATCCCATGAACACTGATGCTTAAAACACCTACGAACACTGGATTAGTCTCAAATACACTGCATTTATGGAGGCTACTCTCACCCCAGCCTCCAGTCCATTAAAAAATGCAGAAGACTGCAATTGCCAACACCCTCTGCCATCTCTAATTACTGCCCTGAACAGAAAAGGTCAGCACATTACACCTGATCAGCCCAGGAGGTTAGGACCTTGCCTGTAGGCTGGAACGAAGGAAGGTTTTGAGCCCATCTGAAAGAGATGGGGTAACATCAGGTGACCTCAGAGCACTTTGCAGAGAAAGCAATCCCATCAAATGAGAACACAAAAAGGTGTCAAGGGCCTGGGAAAACAGATCTGTGCTCCAGCAAGGTGTTCGGCCTGCCCTTAGGATCGGGACTTGATCTCACAACCCTACTAACCCCTGCTGCAAGTGGTGCACGGGAGACCCCGACCTCTCTAGAGTAAGAGCAAGGCACCCCTTGGAGCGCAGCTGCTACTCCCCACCCAGCCTGCACGGGGATCGCTTCAAGGGGAGAGCAGTGCACCCCTCTTTGAACGCAAACAGCACCCAGTCCTGCTCAGTGCCCACACACTGCCCCACGCAGATGAGCCAATGTGGGGGATGATGGCGCTCCCACCGCTTTGGGAGCTGCCTCCCACAAAGGCCCTCGGTGAAGCAGCTGACCAACAGTATCCACAGAGATATTAATACATGGCAGGCCCACCAGCACATGAGCCAGGGAGTTGCAAGCATGCCTGCATGCTCGTGGCACACTGCCCTCTGCTTGTAAGAGAAACCTTGAGGAGGAGAGGGAAATCTACATGGTGTAGATGTGACTCCTCTTGTGTACGTCGTTACATGTCTTTCGGGTGCTGAAGGGTGTGTGCCACTAAATGGTAAGCGGACAGAAACAAATAACGTCAAAGACACTGATGGTGGTGACTCGAACAAAATGCTGCTGCAGCAGGAAGGCAATGATGTGCCCGGATAGGATCAGCCTTGTGGGCTCTGTGCTTGCAGACTGCTTTCCAGACACCACACATTTTTAAATCAACTAAAAACGGCGTAGAAGTGGATCAAAGTATTTCACTGCTCTCTTACAGCTGCCTTTCTGCAAGTCTCCCCTGACTCACCTGACTTGGCAACGCAGCAGAGAGAAGAGTTTCTGACTTCTGGGCACAAGTGCTGCGTAAACCGCTGCCGTGCAAAACGGAACTCCCTGGGTTTTCCCCAATTTCTGTTGTGAAGAACAGCACTGCTTACTTTCCCCTTGCAGCCAGGCCCATCTATTTGTGATCCGCAGGGTTAAGAGATTGCGATCAAACTACCAGCCCTTTCTCAAATGACTATCCTGGGCAATAACCTGCGACTCAGCTCTGCTTGGCAAAGCCTACATCTGTACCCTGGAAACAGATATCTGGAAGAGCCTGTCTATTGATACTACCATAGCTCAAGACAACAGAGATTGTCTTTCTTCCCACTTCTTGTTTATCCAATCCACAGGAAAAAAGGAGGCAACAATGAGAAGTTTTGGACACTAGGAACAGACAAGACCGCTACTGCTGCCTGAGAAACCAGTTCACCAGGAACGATATTCCCAGAAGTTCCAAGATAAAAGCAGGCATCGTCCAAACACTATCACCCTGGAAAGATATAGCATTAATGCTCTTCCACCCTGCAGCTTCTGCCAGAGCTACAAACTGGTGCCACTTTCCCCCTAATGCTCTTCTTGCCACCGGCGCTGCAGCAAGCCTGTGCAGAGAGGACCACCAGAGTGGCCTGAAAAGCTGATCACTGCCTTTTGTAGGACAGTACCTATCCCGCCGCGTAGCTCACCGTGGAGAAGATGACCGTGTGTGACGGCATCGCAGCCCTGGCAGGCTGGAGCCCTGTGAGGAAGCACTTTTGGCCGACCTCCCTGTGTAGAGGGACTGAAAAGACGTCAGGGGCTGCTGGGCTGTGAGCAGCAGGAGCCCAGGCTGGGATGCGCAGAGGCAGCAACCTAGGCAAGGTTCCAGCAGGGGGAAAACAGAAGCGAGAAGAGGAAAGAGAGGAGACTAAAAGGGGAAAGACATAGATGTGTGTGCGGAAGAGGAGATGGGTGTTGGGGAGGGGATGAAAGCAGAGTCATGGCACATGATTCCCTGCTCGGTGCCTCCACACTGCGTTAGCCCGGCTGCTCCCGGAGAAACCAGAGCAGGGAGAGCGGGCCTGCCTGTGGCTGGAGTTGCGGCAGGCGCAGGGAAAGGACATGCCTCCAGATAAGGAGATAAAAACGAATCCCAATTACTGGATACTGTCTGCATCCTGCAACAAGCTGAACAGAGAGGGCTGAGCAAAGGCAAAGGGAGCAACCTCCGAGCTGCATCTGTGCCTTTGCTAAGTGAACATCTCCACAATTCATGTGAGTATTTTGCCACTTCTTACTGAGTCATATTAACTCTCACTTTAAAAAGCCACCAGAATTAGTGTAACACTCACTGTGAAAATCCTGTATCTGCTACTGTAGGAGACCTATTATTAGCAAGGCATTATTATTATCTGTCATTTGGATTGTAAGCTGTCTTGCTGTGAGCCGGTTCATGTGGATTGCTCTGCATCAAGCTCCTAACCCTGCCACCTCTACTCTTCTGTAAATTTCCATGCGGACACACTAATTTTGGAATCAGGATCCAAGGAGGATTTAATGAAACTCAGCAGCACTCCAGGATGTGTACAGTGCCTCCCACCATGGAGCCCAGTCTCCATCAGGACTTGCGCCCACTACAGACAGAGAATAATTGCACTGGCAGGTCTGAGCAGGTAGAGGAGGTTGAAGTGGTGGGGAAGGCGTTTCAGTGCCTGCACTGCAAGGTTTATGTGCCTGATCCTCCCCTCAGCTCCTCTGCATACAACTAACTTTCCCATCTCTCCAGGTTTTTCAACCAAAGGGATCTTACGACTGCCAGGAAGGTAGGGCTGGAGGTGGAGGCGGGGCGGGGGCAGGCATTGCCACTGCAATTGCCAACCCCAAGCTTTGCAGGATGACTTGGTTTGGAGCTGCTGGAGCCAGACCAGAGCCAGTGACCCTGCCTGGGGGAGAAGTGGGGGCAGAAAGTGGAGGGGTTCTTTCCTCACCCTGACGCCTGAGCAAAGGGGAGCAGGTTTAGCAAGACAGACAGCAGTGGCTACAAAGGGGAATGTTTCTTACAGTCACTCTGCACAGCATAGGGAGGCAGCAGGCTGATGGGGGAGAGATCGTCTTCAGGCCCCTCTACCACTGAAGGGGGCCCCTTGGGAGGCGTCTTACCGGTGGGCAGGGGCGAGGTGGAGACCGTGTTGAGCAGCACCACGCAGACAGCCACAACATCCCATAACTTCATCTTAGATCTCCTTCCAACACAGGCCCCTGGGAGAGAGGAGAGGCAAGGTTAGCACCCGGATGCTGTGCTCCCCCAGTCCTGCCCCCTCCCTGCCAGCCCTGAGACAAAGGTGGGCAGCCTCGCACCCTGGATCGGCCTGGTCCACCCTGGCCAGGCCTGGGTACAGAGCAGAGGGAAACAACCTCCCACACCTATCACCTCCCAGAATGAGGGAGGTGGGCTCTCCCCAGTGAGAGGTGTGGGAGAAGGCGGTGGAGGATGGCCTCCAACCCCTCTATGCCCAAGCGAGCTGCTTTGGGGGATGCAGGTAGGCAGGTCCCAGGAGCCTGCGCCCAGGGACGTGGGGGTGTGACTGTGTCCCTGTGCTGGCAACCAGGTCACCTTGTGCTTGTCCTCCTCTAGCACCCAGGCGGCACCGGGGCACCTGTCCTGAGGCTGGGCCAGGGTGGACTGGGCTGATCTGGAGTGCGGGGCTGCGCAGATTCGTTATGCTACAGGCAAACCTTCCTTTTCCTTTCCTTCTCGTCTCCTTCCCCTCTCCTCTCCTTTTCCCTTTCCCTTTTTCTTTTTCCTTTTCCCTTTCCTCTTTTTTTTCCCCTTTCCCCTTTCCCGTCCCCTTCTCAGTCCTCTCTTTCCTTTTCCTCTTTTTCCTTTCATTTTTCTCTCATTTTCTCTTTCCTCTGTCCTCTTCACTTGTCACCTTTCCTTCCCCATCCTCTTCCTTTTCCCCTTCTTTTCCCCTTTCCCTTTCTTCTTTCCTTTTCCCCTTCTCTTCCCATTTCCCTTTCCCGTTGTTTCAGTATTTCCTTTTTCCTTCCCTTTTCTCTTTCCCCTTTCCTTTTCCCTTTCCTCTTTGTTTCCACCTCCCTTTCCTTTCATTTTCCTCTCCTTTTTTCCTTCCCTTTCCTTCTCGTTTCCCTCTTTCTTGTTTCCCCCTCCTTCTCTTCATTTCCCTCTCCTCGTTTCCTTCTCCTCCTCTCCTTTTCCTTTTCTTTCTTTTCCTTTTCCTCTTTCTTTTCCCTTCTCGAATCCCCTTCCTCCTCTTCTCTCTTCTTTCCTTTCCCTTTCCCTTCTCTTCTCCCTTTCCCTTTCTCTCCTCCTCGCCCCCCGGTCGCCCCGCCCGCAGTCAGCCAGGGGATGACTGCTCCATCGGGGCACGCACCCCATGCCGGCCGCCCGGGGATGACAGCTGCCCCAG